CCCCAAAACCCCAAAACCCCAAAACCCCAAAACCCCAAAACCCCAAAACCCCAAAACCCCAAAACCCCAATGAGTGATAGCCTTATTGACAATAAGAATTTGGGTATTAAAAATAATAAGTATTTAATAATAAAGTTTATTCATAAAAACTATTCCCAAAAGCTGAGATGAAATTTAAAGCATAGAGAGTTAAGGCCCCGTTGACAGAATGAAGTAGAATGCAAATAAAATTATAATTAAGGACATAAGTCGGTTTAATGAACAGATTATTAATAAAATTTGCCATTTAAAGAAATAGGTTTACTCCAGCGGGTTTAGAATTTTTCTTAGATTATTGAAAGTTCTATTAGTTTCTTACCAGGCCAGCAAATGTTTTAAGAATCTGATATAATCTAAATGAAATTTTTTTATTTTCAGCAAACCTTTGATGAAGACTTCATCTTAATGAATCGGACTATCTTGATTTTAACGATAGTATTTCACTTTCACTCCAATAAATATATTACCAAAAAGGCATCTTTTAATGAGGTTTATATGCTTCAAAGTATTTATGGGTGTCTAAAGGATTACTTTATTATTGAAAAATTCGTCAAGTTTGAATTCCAGATTTGAATAATTTCTATTTCCATTTCACCATTTTTGAGCTCTATTACCTAAGCCAAGCTAGATTGACATAAAGATGGACACCCTTTATTCTAATTTACTAGAAGAAAGTCTACAACCCCAATGCTATTAAATAGGCTGCCGAAATTATCAATAACAATCCCAAGTTCATTCTTAAAGCCAAGAGCTCAGAGGTCCAACCCTTTTGTGCCCTGTTGAGCAATGAGTATTTACGAGGTAGAGTAGGAATGTTATTTAAGACGAATAGTGTTCTCTCTGCAAGGACTTGTGAATTTTAGGATCTTCTTTTTTAGTTGGATCACTTTGGCTTTAAGTTTTGAGTTCATACGTTCTGTTTCGTTGTTTTCTTTCTCTTTTATTTTTAAGTTTGTTTTCAGAACTTGAATTTTGGCTTTTAGTTGGTATATCTCCCCGTCACTCTCACTACTAGAAAGTTATTAATGTTTCTCACTCATTGGTTGTTTGATTAGCTTTTGAAATTTGGTCCTCTAGCTCTTCAATCAAAACATCTTTATCAATTACGATATCAAACAATGCTAAAGGAAAATTAAGTAAGTTCACCTACATCTTCATTTGGTTACAGCATCATCTCTAACTTTGATTGTCTCGTTCGAAGTGGCCGCTACTAATTCAGTCATATCTTCTAACTGCTTCGCAAAGCTTCTTCTTAGCAAATGCATCTCTTTTTCGTGTCTTTTCTGCAAGTCTTCAATCTTATTTTAAATATTTTTGATGAACCATCGTCTTCATATTTTGTCTGTAATTAATTTTCACTTTAGGCTTTTCTCCAATTTGTGCTTTGTTAGATTTAGTCTTGGAAGAAAAGTTCATGTCTATTTTCATTGATCTGTTGGGCACTTTTTGAGTTGGAGAAGTAGTTTCAATTGACTTGATCCACATTTGTTCTTGCTTTCTTAGACATTCTGTAACATCTGAAAGTTGTTTCTCGAGTTCAGATATCTTATTCAATAAATCCTGATTTTTCTTAGAAAGCTTCTTGACTTCTTTATTTTTCATCTGCTATCATTTTTGTAAGAACCATAGTGGCAGCTTTGGCATCTTCTTTTTCCTAAAATTAGGTGAATATTATTATAAGATTTTTGGTTATGTATTATATAATTAAGAACAAACCCAAATAAAAATAAGTTATTACTTTTGATAATGAGTCTTCTCTGCTTCTGTTTTTGCATCTTCAAACCCCAACTTTCATGTATGGACTATCTAAATTCCAGGTTAGAGTTTACACTTCTATTAAGTTACTACAAAAATGTGTGCAATTTTCAAATCCTAACTTGATCCTCCTTGAGAATCATGAACCAATTAATTTGTGTCTTAATTTATATTGATGCTCAACCATAGTATTTTTGGGGTTTTAAAATTAGCTAGAAAAGAGACAAAAGAATACAATGCTTGTTTTCACTTAAAACAATCTTTTTAGAGCATAAAAATTAAACTTTTCATCTATAAATTTACTGGTCTATTAAACAGAGCTTAGGTTTTGTATTATTGAGCAATGTTTAGACTCAAAAAGTTGTGTATTCATTCTGTCAAAAACCTCAGCCCTTCATAAAAATACAAAATTAGTTCAGAGCAAACCTATGTGCAGAGTTTTACACTTTAATTTAATACAAATAAAGATTAACAGCGTATAAAATAAAGCATAACTGGTTTAGCATTAGAAGTTTGCAATCAATTTAGTCAAACAGTAATATTTCCGTTTGTTCAAAGTACCACCAAACGATAGCTTTACAGAAAATTAGACTCCAAAAAATAATACTTTTAGGATCCTTTAGAATCTCTCTCTAACTTGGCAACCGTTCCGATTGAATTAAAATTTACTGACTATTTAAGCTCAAACTGAAGTAACCATCTTTTTCTTTAAGCACAGTATTAAATGCGTGAATAAAATTTAGGAGAGAATTCTTTCTTTAAGAATGAGGGAATTTTATAGATATGAAAGTTGTTTGAAATAAAAAATATCATCAAAATTTGGATAAGATTTCCTAGCAAAGCCAGAAAGAGAAAAACTAAATTTTTGGGCGGAGCTTAGGTTATTTAAACTTAAGATGCACAACTGCTTCAAAATTTTAGAGAGTGATATGATTCTTACCTAGATTAGCACTCTTCTTCCCAGTCTTATTCATTGCATTCTGGTAAGACTTCAACCTTCGTCTATTTGTTCGCATTGAACGGTGTTTATTTTCAGGCTGAGGGATTACTAAAGAATAAGAAAATAGCTTACAGCGGTCAGTACTTCTTTTAGAGATGGACTGGTCGTTTGATCTTCTCATACTGGATGATGAATATACCATAGTAGTTCTCTTGTTATTATGATCTAAGAGGTTAAGCCTATTAGTCAAATCTGGCTTTAAGGTCGTAAAGTTTATAGAATCATAAATGGAAGGATTTCCTTTGTAGGGCTTAAGTTTATCGTCCCAATGTCTTGGCATCCCTTCATTGTTGTTCTGATCAAATATTTTCATGTTTTGTATTTGCTTATCTTCAACTTCTTTTGGGAACAAGCTTTGGGTGATTTTTGGAATGGGGGATTTTCATTCATGCTTTAGGCTTATCCTTCGATTTCCTAAGTTATTTATTATTTTTTGCGGGCTCAAAGGTGTTGGTCTTGGTTTTCTGTGCATATTTACTATTAATTATTTTAGATTAAATTTCAATTTCTTATATATTTCGAGGGGTTTTGGGGTTTTGGGGTTTTGGGGTTTTGGGG